AGTAGACACACCAGTTTTCAAAGACTTAGTAGGAAAAAACATGTAAAATAGCTCATTAATAATAAAAATATTGGTTACATGTTGAAATGAAACTGTTCCAGGTATATTTGGGTTATCTTTTAAAAATTAATTCCACCTGTTAGTTTTCTTTTTTAATGTGACTAGGAGAAAATTCTGAATTAGCCACGATTGGCTCACATTCGTGGCTTGCCTTGCATTGCTTCCCTGAAGTGATCCTTTCCTGATGTGCTGAATCCATAGTTTCCACAACTGCGCATCCTCCCTTGTCCTGGTTCACCTGTTCCTCCGGGGTCAGCTCCACTATTACCTTCTGAGAGGCCCTCTCTAACCCCCTGTACATTTCTCCACTCTACTGGATGAGCCCAACCATCATCCCCGCCGCAGCTGAATCTTGAACTCCTTTGTGCCACAGTGCCCTCATCATCCTCACTGCCACTCCTGTTCTCCTGCTGGACTGCAAGTTCAAGGACATGAGGACTGGATTCGTCTTGTCCACTTCCATATTCCTGGCATGAAGCACACACAGTGTCCAGTACTAAAGACTGGCTTTAATATATTTATTTGAATGAACGAATGAATGGAGGGAATTCAGCTTCATTTACACACAGATATCCCTCTTCCAGATCCATGGCGTCAGCTATAACTTCAGAAAGTTTCTGATTTGCTATGATCAAGATAGTGGGAGGACTCAGAAGAAATTAACAGAGGAAACTGTTAATGTGGAAAGGTTAATGTGGCTTTACCATCGTCATATCATTTCATATATTATATATCTATATTTGTATCTATAGCTTCGTCTATATTGATATATACAAGGTGATTTTCTTCTTAAAAAATGCATGCTGTATTAACTGGAATGAAAGTCTATTGGACTCATATTGTTTCCTTTGCTTAGATTAAGAAACTTCACAGAAGATGACAGAATCTGGGGGACAGAACTGCAGAAAGCCCCCTGCGAAGGCCTCTAACACAGGACGGGGTGTCTGTGATGGAGAAACCGTTTCTAAATGTTATCGCACAAAGTTATCGCATAAAATGTTAGAACAACATATTATTTGTTGTTCTAATAATTCCCAGGATTTCTATTGTATTTCATGAATGACATTGTACTTTCTGGCTTCAACAAAGAAAATACTTTTTCTTTTAAAAATAACTATGGCAAAAAATAGTACAGGATATTTTTGAGGAAATACAGCTTTCAAGAGAAACCAATGGGTGGGAAAACGAGTAACTATATGGGAACCAGAGCAACAAAGCAAAGGTCTCCTTCACTCTCACACACTCCCACATTCACATTCATGTAGATACACACCGATATTCATACACATCCACACCCACACTCATAGCCACAGGCATACCTTCCACACACACTTATCCACAGCTTGAATGTTTGTGTGTCCCCGAAATTCGCTTATTAGAATCCTAACCCCCATTGTGATGGTGTCAGGAGGCAGGGTCCCTGGGAAGTGATTGTATCATGAGGACAGAGCCCTCATGAATGGGATTAGTGATCTTATAAAGGAGACTCCACAGAGCTCCCTGGCCCTTCCACCACGTGAGGATACAACATAAAGTCTGCAACTCAGAAGATGCCCTTCATCTGACCATGCTGGCACCCTGGTCTTCGACTTCCAGGCTCCAGGACTTTGAGAGACAGGTTTCTGTTGTTCATTCGTCACCCAGTGTATGATATTTTGTTACAACAGCCCATATGGACTAGGACATTCACATACGTGCACTTACACTCACATACATATTCATGTACACATACTGACACCTACATCCACACTCACTCATATCCTTCACACATATGAAAGACACACACATTCACACATACCCTCCGTACTCACATACTTATACCACACACATGCATGTGCACACACATCACTCACATATACTCACACACACTCATACATTCATAAGCACACTCACAGGGACTGTGCCCATTCAGCACCTGGTTGTTCTCCTCTGATGTAAACATCCTGCAAAAATGAAAGGTCATCTTGCATTTCCACCGCTGCCAGAGAAGCACACTCTCACTTTGTTCACAGGCTAATGGGGTTTTACTTGGGGCTTCCTTTGGTGCCAACACCTGAAATTCCCCTCTCGGCCGGGTGGGGTGTAACCTGACTGGGTTTCCCAGTATTAATCAGTGTTTAAAAAACCCCCATCACACGCATGTCTTTGCTTCCTTTCCCCACTGAGGTCTAATTTGGGCCCCGCCACAAAGCCCCTGATGTGGCTGCAGCACCTCTTTCTAGTCTGGCATGCAGATGAGTGACATCCGTCATGGCACCGCCCTGTCAAATGCCCAAGCCTGCCTGAGAGCAGCATGAGGAATCCCGGGTTAGATGGGCAGGGCGACAGTGGACGGTTCCAAACAGAAGGGGCGGTGATTTCTGCCCAGGAAAGGCTCCCGGGAACAAGCCCCACATTAGCTCTAATTGGAAGTCACTTGACCTTCCTAGACCCATTTAGCATTTGTAAAATGGGTAGTGGGGCTTTTGATAACGTGTGACGCTTAAATTCCCTTTGGCTCTAGAAGTCTGTGATTCTGTGGTTCTGCGGTCCAAAGCAGACCTGCTCACCTCAGTAACTCCGGTCAGGGTCTTATTTAGTCCCACTTCTAGGTGAGTGACCTATTTGGGGTCACTGAAGAGGCCCAGGATTTTGCTGAAAATGACTTAATTCTGTAATGGCACTACAAAACTGAGGACTAGATTCAACTTTCCTTAAGTCTCTCAGGTTGGCTGGTCACTGAGGGCTTGGAAGGAGCCCTGTCGTCACCACTACCAAGTTACAGAAGCTTCTAGTATTTGCATTTTTGGTTTCTTATTCAAGCCAGTTCCAGTTCCAGCATCTACAACTCTGGCTCCCCATATGGGAAGAATTTCTACCAAGAAGAGTTGCCCATCATGGCACAGGCTACCTACAAAGTGGAATTCTCCCTGTGTCAGACGGTCCCAGCTGAGACATCTGTCTGTCCTGGCTAATGTGGAAGCAATTAGAGAGGAAGGGTGGACTGGAAGAGGAAGAGGATTAGAATCCTTTTGAATTCCAAAACCTCACTTTATAATATAAGCTTTGTCAGGATTAAGGGCAAGATCAAAATGAGCAGCAGAGTAGAATTTGCATATGCTCGTTTTCTAAGTATTACCAGTGGCTGACAACTGTTTATTTTGATTCAGCTCTGATACTTGACACTTGACCCGTGATACTTCCGAGTACCATGATCACACTGCGCTAAACTCTGTTGCAGTGAGAAGCACATGGGCATGGATGACACTGAGTATGTCTGGCTTTTGCCCTTAGGATAAAAGTTCATAACGTAGTACCATTTAATTTTCCTATGTGTCCTCTCATTTATAAATCCCCACAGTGGTCTTGTCAGTTACACAGATACCAGTATCATTACCGTCACTCCACAGAGAGAAATCCTGGAATAGAGGGGAATGAAATGGGGCTGGAAAACAGTGTATCTTTCCAGATCCCTGTTGAGGACATTTTGGGAGGAGAAATCTTCATGGAAGGAGAAATTTTGGTTTTTTAGCCAGTCACTTACTGGTGAAAATGAAAACAAAGAGCCAAGAATTGAGCTGGGTTCTTCTATAACAAGTATGGCTGCTCCAAATGTCTTGCTTTGCAAATTGTCTTGCGAGTAAAAATGGCTTTATTTTAAAATAAATTTTAAGCTGTGGTTTTAGTTTCAAAGTAAAGAGCTTGATTATGACTCACCAAGCTGTTTATAGTAGTCTCCTCTTATACCAGGCATTTTGTGTGTGAGGGAGAAAGGAGAAAAGGGAGAAAGAGCTCATTTGCTGCCTGGCTTATTTCTTAAATATGAAGAAGACTGCAACTATCAAAATCTATCATGCGAACTCCATCAGAGAACTATGTATTCATTACTCTGACTGTTCTGGTTTTGTGCTTACCAGCTTCATAATTCCAAAACTGTTTATTTACTCTTAGCTGGAAGAGGTGCAGTGAGAGGTTTGGGGAAATAAGGAGGAGCGCAGCTCCCCCGAAACCCTCTTATTATGAGCATGCCAATCAGTAGCTCAATTCAAATCGCATTTTCTTTCAACACAGATGAGTCATGATGTAGCAGAGAGAGTTCTGGATCCTGTTTCAGTCCAGGCTCTGCACTTAGTAGCTAGGTGACTTTGGGAAGACTTTCCTCTGACCCTCAGTTTGTGTCTTTGTTAAGTAGGGACACCTACCACCTATCACACAGGGTTTTGGTAAGGATTGAATGAAATGACAGAGCCAGCCTTCAGCACTTTGTGAAACTTTCACATCCTGTATTTACATAAAGGAGGCATAAGGAGGCACTATTTCCTGGAAGGCTGTTTCATTTACTACTGTTTTACTACTAGTCCTGAGGAAGAGCTGTTTTCCATTCCTACTCATATTATTTTTGCTATTATTTGTGTTCCTGAGGTTGGCAGCTGTCCCTCTCCTTTTCTAATGACTATAGAAAATATATTCCTAAATATCCACATCCCCAGATTCCCCATGTTTAATTTCCCAAAAAAGTGCATGGTCACTGCTGGGCACATTGCGTGTAGGAGAGAGGAGTGGGCAGAGAGGGGACAGGAGTCAGAAGAGGTGGTGTAGTGGGGTCAGAGGGTGGATATGCTTGGGCATGGGAAGGGGCCCAGATGAGGGAAAGATGAGGAAGGAGATGAGGGAAAGACGTGATTGTGCGGAGGAAGGAACTCAGTCAGAGCTCTCACCCTTTTCTGGCAAAAGTAAATGACAGCAAGTCAAGCATCTTGAAAATATGGCTGCAAAAACGAGCTCCAACAAAATCTCTGAAGCCTCATATGAAAGCCACTATGAAAATAAAGTCTTTTTCCATCCTTGAAATATATTGTTTAAATATATTACTCTCTTTGTATGTCAACTATATCTCAATAAAAACAAAAAATTACAAATATGTAATTCTCCTGAATTTCAAGTTGACATGGAAAACTTACCTTCCAGAAAAGAGAGATCTGTTGTTTACTGTAGTCAATGTTCTGTTTCATGTACCAGATATCTAGTGTCCCAGTAGGCTCTGATTTGAAAAGGAAAGAACATATTTTCATATATATAAATACACATACACATACACAAGTATAAAACATTTAAAAGTCAATGGGTTATTTGATAAACAATTCTGGGAGAGTAGGATTATAAGATATTTTCAATTTCCTTTGTGCCCCAGTATTTTTTTTCTTTTGTTAAACAATGAACATGTATATCTTTGGCCACAGAAAGCTCACAGTTACCTTAAAAACAAAATTTTAAAAAATGAGGAGGAAATTAGATTCCTAACTTATTCTTAAAACATATTAATAAAATAACTTAAAGTGTGTATGGTTCTTTTGTTTTTTATTGGAATGCATCAAGAATTCTCAGTCAAAACTAAAGACATAAATTGTAAGGAAAACATGTTTTTGATCTTGTAAAAGTACAAAATACAAATAATAAACTTTGTGTTCATCTCTATTTCTGACCTAATGTTGCAGTACTATTATTTGGTTTTATGATCATTAGACAATGATCTACTTGAAAGGAAGGCCTGTCTCATGCATCTTAGTGCTTCTCCTACCTAGCACCATGCTTGGAATATAATAGGCTCTCAATAACTCTTTGTTAAATGATGAATATACAAATCAGGTAACATGATCTACTTGATGCTAAGACACAGGCTGAATTGACAGAAGAAATAGCCACCAATTTATAAGACAATGGTCAAATATGACCTAATTTAATATGAGAAAGTCAATCAAACATGCTTAAAAACAAACTAAATAATCATCTCCTGTGTGTAAAAATTTGTGTGCATGTGTGGGTATATTATGGGTGAAGTAGTTTTATTTCTTCCACTATCAGATTTGTTTTTATTTTTAGCCAAGGGGGAGTCAGTATAAGCAACCCCTGAAAACAGGCTTCAGTTGTACCAACCTAACTTAGTTAACAGTGACAGTTTGAGTGTAATTGAGGTGAGGCTATAATGAGGTTCATTCTGTAGTAGGAAGTTCCATTAAACCAGATGGAGATTTCCAGAAAATTAAGTTTCACCTGGATAACAGCAGCAAGCAGCCCAGGGGAGGAGAAAAGACAGGGAGGGAGTACATGTACCAGCACATACTATGGGCAAGTCCTGTGTGGGCCCATTCACAGTTACAGCTCATGTCCCCCTTACCACCATGACGTCCGCAGCTTTAGTGCAGTGGTTAAAGTGTGAGCTCTAGAGCCAGGCCATCTATGGGCAAATCCCAGCTCTGTGATCTTGAACAAGTGTTAACCACATCCTTAAGCCAGTTTCCTCATCTGTCAAGTGAGGATCATAATTCTGTACATCACATGGCACTGTTGTGAGAATTTAAATGAATAGAAGAGTGCCAATACGTGCTAAATACTCAGTAAATTTAGCTGTTGTTTTCTTCATTTGAAAACTGAAGTGCTGAGAGATAAAGGGACTGTTCAAGGTCCCCAAACTAATGCTCAGAGAAGCCAGGCTTTAAACACATGTCTGTTTAATTTCGTGGTCTTCACTCTGCACCATGAAGTTGCCTGAATCTGAGAAGGCTAATGATTTCTCTATAATTCCCCAGTACGTGTGCCTCTTTCATGATCAGTTTCTTCCTTTGTTACTCCCTCTTCCTGCTTCTCTTGCCCTTTCTTTTTTTCTCAACATTCACTTCTTTTCTTTCCCCTCTCTGTACACCAGTGGTAGTATTTACCCTTGCAGTGAGAACTTAGCAGAAAGAAGTACATACACAAGACATCCTGAAAGTGTCAATCCTTTAGGATTATGAAGAGCAACCCAGGAATCAACTCAGGACTTTTTTTTTTTTGTTGTTAGTCCAGATGCAAAAAAAGCAAAATGTACAGGCAACAGAAGGGAAGGGAACCTGGCATGTATTAACCACTTGTTATGTGCCAGGTAATAGTTAGACACTTTATGTACATTATCTCATTTAATCCTCACATATTGCAGGGGGTGCATGTGATTACACCTATTTTACAGCTGACAAAGGTTAAATGATTTACAAGAGACAGGCAGCGGGTAAGTGGCAAAACTGAGAGCTGAGCCTAGGTCTTCAAAGACCCTGCTCTTCCATTACAGTTCATTATGCTGAACAAAGATCTGAACACTTCACAAACATGATGATCCAAACAGTGACACATAATCGGGATATGGAAACCTGGGTATGCTCAATGTCAAAGCCAGCTGACTTGTTCCTTAATGCTAAATGTTTTCACTTAATCACATATTGATAAGAAATGTAAAGAAAACATTTATTGCCTTACTAAAGATCTATAACCTATCACTTTATTATAGAGCTAAACATCAAATTCTAGAATCATAGTCTCTTCAAAGGAGAAATTGCAAGTGAAACTGAAAATTTAATGGTGGCCACCTTCAGTGTAAGCCACTATAGGAGAGAAATCATTAGTTGAGTTTCAAATGGTAGAATTTCATGACCAGGGGTGTCAAACCACTGCTGTTTAACACAGTGTAAGGGCTAACATTAAAGAGAATCTTTGACATTCAGCTGTCACAAAGTCACTCAAAGTTCTAACCACAGTGTTATGTAATAATAAAAGGCAGATTAAAACTATTATAAGCAGGTGGGAGAAGGAAGGTCAAATGCCCATATGTCAAAGTGATTACAAAACAAATGGGTGCAAATGATTAAATATATAAACACTGCAAAATGGAAGTTGGCTTTCCTGAGATGAAACTAGTTCCCATAAAAAGGGAGAAATTGTAGGGTTAACTAGAGTCACCAATATGGGGAGCGGTGGGAAGAAAAGATACTAAATTAAGCAAGATACTGGCCTAAAGGACTTAAATGACCTTGAGGGTTCTTTCAACTCTAAAACCCTAAGATTCCAGGATTCCATGAAACTGTATGTGTGGCAAGCAAATGAGAGCCAAGCAATGAGTTGCTCCTAAGATTAGCATTCCCATCTGAAGCCCAGGCACAGGGCTGTGGACCAGGGCAACTGAATAGGGGTATAAAGCTGTCCCTCCACAGAGGTTTTACTAGGACTTGAAAGAAAATAAAGATCTCTAAGAACAGTGAGATTGGAGGATTTAACAAAAAAGTAAATATGGAAAAAGCATATCTTGAGAGGTTTCAGGCAATAGATGATATGCAATGCACATATTTTTTTTTTTGGTCCAAACTGTGCTCTAAGCAGGGCAAGAGAGAGACAAGTCATTCATTTTTTTGATTCCTCAATGCCCCACTCTTTAGGTGGTGCTATATTTATCTAAAATCTAGTTTTAGAACTCTGGTCAAGATGGAGGTATAGGTAAACATGGCTAGCCTCCTCTCACAAACACATAAAAATTACAACTAAAGTGTAGAACAACCATCATTCGGAACTGTCAGAAATTGGGTTGGATGGAAATCTGACAACTATGGAATTAAATCCACATCCATCCAGACTGATAGGAGGGGCAGAGATATGGAAATGTGGAATGGGCTGGTTCCACACACGTGTGTTGGATAAAAATCAGGAGGGATATCTCAGGAGTGCAGGATCACAGCCCCTTTTTGTCACTGTTCTTTATAACCTATCACGCACATGGGTGTTCCTTCTCAAAGGCTGTCCTGTCAGTGTCTCCACCTACCCACATTCAATAATCTGTTTCTCTCAACTGATGCCTTTGCCTCAAACCTCCCTGAGCAACAGGGAGAATACAGGCCATAATTCCCTCATCTTTCTACCATGAACACTTTCAAACTTCACCATCTACTCTCTAACACAGCACTCCCACTGCTTTTACTAGGGATGAATCATCTCTACTTCCATCAAAGTTCAATCTTTTAACCTGAGTTCTGAATCCCATCCTCTCTTGCTTTATCAAGAATCTCTCTTCCACTTTTCTTATATCATTAACCTCTCTTTCTCTCTCTGCTGGGCTCTTATTATTGCAGGGGTAACTAGAGTCACCAATAAACATATAAATATATTATATTATTTCTGATCCTAAAAACAGAAACAAAGAGACAAAGAACTTCCTAACATCACATCTCATTCCAGCTACTGCCTTGCATTGCATCTCAATTCCCCTTCACAGAACTTCTTAAAGAGTTGTGAATTGTCGCTTTCATTATTTTCTCACCTCACACTCATTCTTAACTCATACCACCTGAGGTTTTGTGCCCACTACTACTGGTTGGCAGTACACTGTGCTGCCAAATCTAATTATCACGTCTCTGTTCTTATTTCACTGGACTTCTCAGCAGCACAGTGGGCTTCTTGAGCAGCACTCAAAAAATATTTGAATATTCCCTCTATTTTTTAAGAAACATAATGTTTCAACAAGATTACAAGTGAAGATCAAGCTTCTTTCTTCATAGAAACAGGGATGTTTCATCCATACTGAAATCAATGGAAGCATTGTGTTAGAGTGCGGTAGAGTGTTGATAGACAAAGAGTTGCGAAAGATTGCACAGAAAATACAATCTTGATTATGTTCAAAAACAAGCAAAACTAATTGTATAATTGTATAGAGATTTCAGAAATCTATGAGGGAAGTATGAGGATGCTAAACATACAGTCCGGGTTGGTGATCACTTCTGGGGAGGCACGACAGGGGTAAGGACATGTCAGTAATTGTGTAGTATTTAAGTTGAATGGTGGGTTCTTAGGTGTTCATAGTGTTCATTTTGTTCTTATGCTTTAAATAAGAGAGTAGCTTAAACAAAGGGCAATCACAGTGGCCATGGAAGTAATGAACAGATTTTCACTACATTCAGGAGATTGAGTCAATTGTTGATATCAGGAAATGGGGGGAAAGAAAATTTAAGAATAATTTTTCGATTTTTGACTTGAGTATCTAGGATGATGGTAGTGTCATTTACTGAGATAGAAAAGAGTGAAACAGAAGTATTTTGGAAACATTTTGCTTTGGAGAAAATTGAAAAGTTTTTGGTTAGGCTAGATGAGGTTTAGGATGTCTGTTGCCATCTAAGTGAGGATAAGAAACAGGGAATTGGAAACACAAACCTGAAGCCTTGCAGAGGGTCCAGGGCTGAAACTATATGT